GATTCTTTAATGCCATTTTACATCCCGTTACGATCGCTTATTAATTTTCTAATTTATTGTCTGCAATATTTGCAGTTATTTATTTATTAGTCCAATAACACCAGTAATTCAATCTGCGTATCGTAGGGAATGAATGAATAAAACAGACTATAGGATAGCAAAACAATGCGTGGTCCTGAGACTAAGGCAATAGGAGAGGATATAAATGCTTGTTCACAATGGAAAAATGTTTTTTTAGGAAAATGCAGCTTAATTCAATGGAATCAGGGTTGAGGATGGTAAACAAGCATGAAGATGGGACCGTGATATTAGTTGAGCCTTCCCAGAGAATGGAATAGCAAGAAACATGAAAACAGAGGAACTAAAGGACAAAGAACATGAAGCAGATTGATTGATTGAAGTGTATATAGGACTCCAGATTAAACAAATTAGTGTGGATTACTTCTAGTATAGTTTTCTTAACGATTACAGTCTTGTGACGTGCCGTGTAGATCATCTAGGTTCAAGAACCCACGTCGCAATTCGCATCCTTCTCGCAAGCGTCTGCAATATAGTTGGATCTTATGTAGTACCTGCCTATGTCAACACGCACGAAGTTCAACCAGAACTCTTCGTCCAACATCAGTACAGTCATTGGCTTCAGGCTTGTCTGGGACTGATCGAAGACCTCTTGCATGATTTGAGAGCATTCTTTCTTGTCTTGGTCAGAGTCACTCATGGAGTAGTCACCTCGATAAAAGATGTCCACTATCAAGTCTTTGACGACTTGTTTCAGATGGTCAAACTTTAGGCCTGTCTTGGAGTACTTCTCAACAGTTGTCTTTGCCTTGTTCAGTTTTCTCGGGTATTCTAGCTCGAACAGCTTTTTCTGTTGTTGTGTGGTTATCATGAAGCTTTCAAGTTTGTTGTTCTGATGAATGAAGATACAAGTTGATAATACTATATAATAAGGCTATCGCATCTGCGTTATTTTCTAGTTTAACCTCCCCGTACCTAAAAGAGAGGTAGTGGAGGGGAAAATGAGAAAAAACGGCTAAAGACAGCTAAAATCTACCCAAGAAGAAGTTAAAAAGCAATACACTGTAAGGACAACATGAGATCAAAGTAAGTTCAATTTTTCAATTTTCAAATTTACGATTATTTCAGCATTTAAAAGACAGCACAGATGCATTGCTTGGGCTGCCTGTGTTTAAATAAGGGCTTAGTTTGGGTATAAAAATGCTGGGATTCACAAGCTACACCTCGCTTAGATTACCTTAATCCATATCTTTGCGCTGTCCCCTTCCAAATGAATAGCATTCATCAGCCTCATGGCAATGGAGTTCTGTATTCCCACAAGGGTAAGGTCTCTTTTGATCTGCAATATCATTTTTTCTTTCACATCATATCCTCGCCCAACGGTCACCCCGGAAGTGTTACTGAAAACGTGTAGTTTGCGGCTGAAATAAGGACTGGATGAATTGTCGTCTCCTTCAGCTTCAAAAGTGAAATTTCCTTGCTTTACTTCTAGGAAAGGATCTTCTATAAAGCGGATTAACAATGATATATTAGAACCTGAACTGAAGGCGAGCCTGGAAGGAGACCCTTGGGTGGCGTGGTAGTAGCTAGAGCCGCTAGTTTTTTTTCTACAGGTTTTCTTTGGAATGCAAAATGTAGCAAGCTACAGTGGCGGATCCAGGATTTTTCAAAGGGGGGTTCCGTTTCTTGAACTGCGTGTAATTCTCTTTTGTTTAGTCGATGTTTGACAAAAAAATTGGATCTAATCACCTAATTTACTATCTAGTAACGGAACTTAAAGGTAAATTAAACATTATAACAGCAAATATATATCATTTCGTGTTCAACATTATCTTTGTGGATACTTTTAAGCAAAATTTCAGTTTATAGAAAACATATTTCTATTACCTAAAAGATCAAATCTTCAAGGGGGGTTCCGTGGACCCCTTCGACCCCCCTGGATCCGCCACTGAGCTAAATTCCAATTCGATATGTGAGTTAGCTCTGCCCTGACAGTAATAAAACAAAAATCTTACTTGTAGGAGGTGGGCCATCAGTAGGTTGGACGCCAGAGCCATCAGTAGGTTGGACGCCAGGGCCAGAAGTTCCTTCTTCTGGTGGTTCTTTTTCCTTCGATATCAGACCTTTCAGCTTCGACCCCCATTTCTGTAACATTTCCTTGCTGGCTATAATTTTACCTTTAATCCAGTCTTGAAGTTTTGACCACCATTTTCCGCCGGGCTTTTTGAAAGGTGGGAGTTTCTTGACTTTCTTTAACAATTTCTTGACTTTTCTCGTTAATTTTTTTATCTTGAATTTTTTTAGGACTCTTCGTGTGCGGATGCGAATAAGCTTTTTGGTACGGAACCGAATACGGCGGATTTTTCGACGAATGGAACGACGGAGTCTTCTCGTACGGACGCGACGAACAAGGCGGCGTAGTCTTCTCGTACGGACGCGACGAACAAGGCGGCGTAGTCTTCTTGTACGGACGCGAACAACACGGCGTAGTCTTCTTGTACGGACGGGAACAAGGCGGCGTAGTCTTCTTGTACGAACGCGAACAATGCGGCGTAGTCTTCTTGTACGGACGGGAACAAAACGGCGAATTCTTCTCGTGCGGACGTGCCGAACAGCACGGCGAACCCTTACCCTTTTCCATCTACGTCGTCCCCAACTCTCGGACTCTTCTATGACTAATAAAGTGAAGATCACTACCAAAGCTAACAGTACGTACCAACGCATGTTGAGTTGAATGAGGTTCTGTTCCCACTAACAGTTGAGCCGATAATAGTCAGTGATGCTCATATGGGCAGCTTTTTATGTAAAACGTTTAAGTTTAATTTGCTGGGATTAAAATCCCCCACAAAACAAAGTTTCTTGATTTTTTTCCTGTTTTTTCCCTTCTGGAGTAAAAAATAAGACATCTTGAAAATGTGAAAATTGTGCTATTTACATTTAAATGTCAATAACTTTGAGAGAGGCATTACTGGGTGAGGATTTTGGCCCTCAATCTCAAGTCAGAATCCTGCAAAACTCGAGCACTCAAACACCCTTCTCAAAATTATCTTGAATGCTAGCAGCAGGTAGGGGGACTCGCGATCGATGCCAAAGATATACGGGTTTAAC